TTAAATGATACATTAACACAGATTAGTCTAGCATTACTCACCTTATATATACACATCATATGCGCTTTGTACTTTTTTTTGCATCAATAAAATAAATAATTTTTTTTGAAAAAAAGACCACCAATCGGTTTGCCCCTTTTCTGGGCATTAAGGAAGCCGCCTAGTTGGAACAAGTCCGAATCGGAGGAGCTGGCGAATGGGTTCGAGAAGCAAACCAGAAGTCGAGGGGTAGTGTGGAAGAGTTGGGCGCCTCAACTGAAGATATTGGGTCATGAATCAGTGGGAGGTTTTTGTTGACTCATTGTGGATAGAGTTCCGTGATAGAGGGACTCCAGTTTGGGAAACCACTTATTATGTTGCCGTTCATGGTAGACCAAGGTTTAAATGCAAGGGTACTCCATCCATGAGAAGAAGGTTGGGATTGAGATACCGAGAGGTGAAAAGATGGCCACCTTAGTTTTCGGGGCCTCAAGGCAAAACAAAAATGGAGGTTTGTGAGGTCTATATTCACAAATAAAAAAACATCACCCTATTTAGTATTACTATGATCGATTGATACCAAATAGATATCAAAATATATTCATACAAAGAAAAAAAAAAGTTATCAAAATGAGAAAAACTTTATTCAATTAAAATATATTGGATATGCATTGAATTAATTGTTGTTTATTGAATATGTCGTTTATGAGTGTGTTTGAGTATGGTTGCATTATTGTTTATTGAATATGTTGGGTGTGAGTGTAATTGAGATTGAATTAATTGTTTATTTCACTAAAATTTGATAAACAAAGAAGGTAAAAAAAAATTAGGACAAATTTATTTATTCTACTAAAATCTGATAAAGAAATAAGGTAAAAAAAAAAATAGGGGGCCTATTTTGGGCCACCAACATTTTGTATGTATATGTAGTGTTTCTTATCCAAGGGTCACTAACATTTTGTACATATTTTAATTTCAATTGGGCCAAACCACACTTATAAACAAATATAGGCCAACAGAATATTTTTAGGTCTTTTAGATTGGCTCTAAAATAACAAAAATAATTTAGGCATATTTATATTTATAATATATTATAATTGTCATGACCCAAACCCATCCCTATGGATTAGAGTCATAACTGGCCAACAATCACGAGATTACTTGTGGCCTCAGTCAGAAACCGAATCATATTTGATAATAGAGGGCCAAATTGCAGAAGCAAAATTTACAAAGATTGTCCAATGAGCTATGCATACATGGCTTAACCAAAATATTATTATTATTATATATATATATAATAACTCACACCATATGAACATTCATATTAAGTATGTAATACACACGTCCAGGATCATTCAAGTTAGTATTAACGAAAACCAAGCTTATGCACAGGGATGGTCATTCATGACCACAAAAGATCAAAAGCAAAAGATCAAGGGTCAAGTAAAACAAAAGCAATGTGTAAGGGGACCTTGGTTGATCTCTCAAGACTTGGCTTCTCATTGCTCATTGGGGTTGGGGCTGGACATCCCGCTACTCACCTACATACATAAATATCAACAGTGAGTTAACGCCTAGTGAATAATATCAAGACAAAGGAGTTCATGAACAAGATTCTTATATCACAGTTCATTATCACACTTAGTACTCAATGATAAAGCAGAACGACCTCAGGTCCTTTACATCATATCCCAAGTACAAAACGACCTTAGATCCATGTAACATACAGAACGACCTCGGGTCCATCACAGGCAAAACGACCTCGGGTCCAACTTACGTATTGAACGACCTTGGGTCCATTACACACTAAACGACCTTAGGTCCAGTACTCACAGAACGAACTTAGGTCCAATACTTACACACATTCATTGTGTGCATACATCTAGTCTATGATCATATTCATTCTTATATCCAGAACGACCTTAGGTCCATATCTTTTCCTTATCCCGAGCGGCCTTCGGCCCATTTAATAATCATACAGAACGGCCTTAGGCCCAATTCGCATTCCCATTGAATATACTGAACAGCCTTAGGCCCATTTCACATTCTCATCAAATATACCAAACGGCCTTAGGCCCATTTCATACTCATACATTAATAGCTTTGTATATCTCATTCCAAATTGAGTGATTGGAACGCTCGTTCATATTATCACTTTTAAGGTTTAGGACCTTACCACATATGCATTGTTTAGAAAATAATGCGTATACGAAAACATCCTCGCTAAGATATTACTCACCATATTCCGGTGCTTGATTCATCCTTGCACTCGACCCTACATAATTCATAACATATCGGGTCATAATACCATTCAATCCATTCTTTAATTTGCTTAATACTCTTAGGCTTCTTTCGTGTCCTTTAATTCATTTAGAATGTCCAATGCATGCCTAAGAGTGTTTAAAGAGAACGAAAAACGAATCATAAAATGACTTTTCAAAATTTTTGAAACAGGGCTCTCCGCTCGAGCACAGCTTTGGTCGCTCGAGCAAACTGCAAAACTCTATAAAAGTACTGGTTACATGAATTTCATACTTGAGCAAGATTTCTGACGCTCGAACGGGGAGTCTTGCAAAACAGGGTTCGCTCGAGCGCAGAGTTTGGCTCTCGAGCCACCGTGCAAATTTCTGTAAAACTTCTGGGAGCCTGACTTTCACGCTCGAGCAACGCTTTCCTCGCTCGAGCAGACAAGTCGAATTCTGGATTTTCCAGAACTCTGTTTGAAGCTCAAAACTCAATTCCAAGGGTCCAATTCGAGTATAACTCACTCAATTATGCAAGAATACTCCCAAAAACATATATTTGAAGAGAACCTTCAACCATAATTCAAAATTCTATGGGTTTAACAAATTTCAAACCATAAACTTTATATATACACAATTCATGGTTGTATCTTGCATGGACAAACTTCAAGGCTTGAAATCGAGCTTCAACATATGGAGATTCTTACATGCATGTGTCAAACAACCTTCAATACAACATGATTAACATGCTCCATAGACAAACATGCAAATTTGTGGATAATTCTCACATGCATGTACATATCAACTTCAAATTCATTACAATCAACTCAATTCTTGTTCTAATTATTTATCATGCTAGAATTCATGTAATTATGGACTTAAACTCAAAAATTTGAGTTCATTACTTACCTAGGAGCTCTAATCTTCCAATTCCTAACTAGTTCTTGAGTTTTCTTTTTCAATCTTCAAGCTCCTTGCCCAACTCTCAAATTTTGCTTCACTCTCTCTCTCTCTCTCTAGAGTCGTCTCTCACTCTCTCTTTCTAGAGGGTAACTTTAGATTTTGAGCTCATAATATGAGCTTAAGTGTGTTTGGCCCTTATATATACTAAGTGGTTAGTTTAAACTAATCCATCTTAATTAAGGTTAATTAATTGTACTTAATTTAATCAATTTAATCTAATTGTTTTGATCCGAAACAGTTATCAATTAAATTTCACCATAGACTCTAAAAATCATGTTGAATGCAAAAACACAATAAATTTCGGTTTCTGTCACCTTTACGGCCTTCAATTTAAATTTTATGACGGAAAGTCAAACAGATTTTCTTACGGTGAATAGATATAAATTCACAAACACCCATAATCATATAATTAGCACTCAAAATCGTATTAACCTCATAATTATAAGCATAATTATAAGCATAATTAAGATTAATTAGCATAAACTAGAGTTGGGTTGTCACAATAATACTTCTCTAAATTTGAAGGTCTTATTTTAGACTAATTTTTTAAGGTTCAAGGCACAAACTTCAATGGCCTTAGCACAGGACCAGTTGAAGGAAATCAGTGGCTGACTCAATCAGATTGGTTATTGTAGAAAGCCAGAGAGATCAGGAATCAAGATCTTCTCCTTCATCTCTCTCCTTAACTCCCTCTTTGCTAGCCTATTGGGCCCATGTTTGGATCCAATTTTGATGATTCGAACCGTTCATATTTTAAAATTTGTTGAGTATATTATATCTGTTAAAAATCAAGTTAATCGGATATCAGAAAACATGTGTTCGGATATCCAATTAACTTGATTTTTTATAAATATTCAATCAACTTGATTTTTTACAAGTATGATATATTCAACAAATTTTAAAATATGAACAATTTAAATCATTGAAATTAAACCTAAAAAGTGAGTCTAATAACCTAGCAAAGAGAGTTAAAAAGAGAGACGAAGAAAAGGATCTTGATTCGAGAGATGAGTGGTGTATTTGGCGACAAGGTCCTGCATGATCAGGGATCAGTACATGAACAATTTTGTTGAGTATCTCCAGAAAAATAAATAAATAAATAAATAATTAGTGTAGATGCCACCAGCATGAAGGTTGAGTTTTAAATAATAAAAAAGATCTGCGCCCTCTCATAAGAGGATTGGGATCCTCGCGGTTGTAATTTCAAGATTTCCCTTCCCTTCTATTATTTAAGGGTTGTGAAAAAATCACTTTAATAAATGTAATGAACTTTGTTTAGTTTGAAATAATAATTTTTTTTTTTATAATTATTGAATATGTAATACACATCTTCTATTACAACTCTCTTACACCTTCTTCCAGCCCTCTGTGAAGTAGTTGGATGGTATGACAGATTTGGCAATGTCAAAATGTTGTGTCAAATTTGACACAACATTTAACATTACTATAATTTGACTAGGGAATGGCAGGCCACTAGAGAGGAGCAAACTGTAACTCTAGCCAAATTTTGACAATATTAAATATTTTGGAATAATAGCTCCAATAGCAAATCACTAGAGATGCTTTAATTTGCCAGATTTTAACCTTCCCTCCATTTTCCCTCTCCGGCCAAAACTATAGATCCATAGTGTTCTCCCCTCAAACTAAAGAGGGCACAAAACAAAACAAGAACCACATTGTAGAAGTATTTTAAGTGATCCTAACTTTCTTTCTTTTTTTTGGCTGTTTTGAACAGCCAAGTTGTGTAATATGAACTGTTATGCAAGACATTGTTATTATTCCCCAAGAAAACCTTTCACCATTTAACACTAAACATTAAACTTAAACTAGGACATATACAAGAGAAGACAACTACAACGAAAAGGTTCAGCCAACCTGATGTATATTTATGACAAAATGTTGGCATAATAACTTCAATCTCCTCCATGGAAAGTTTCATCCCATCCTTCAAGCTCTATATACATAAATTTAAACTATAAAATATACAGGAGAAGAAGATAATTTCTACAACAAAGATGTCTGAAAATTAAAAACAAAAGTGCATTAGTACCCAAGGCTATGGAGCTGGGAATATTTGTGTAGTTTAACTCATAAATCATTATCCCCCTAGCTATATTTTGTATTATTTACTTTGGAGGAGAGGTTAATTTATTTTCCTCTGAATCATGCTTAAGCGTAGCATCCCCTCCCATCAGTTCCTGAAAACCTTCAACCTTCACCGGTGGAGCCCTAACAGTGCCCATGCTCCTGCATCAATCAATCAAAACCACAAAATTTTCTCAGAATTCCATCAACTAATTTAAAATCCATTATAACAAGCAAGTAGGCCTTACGGTGTCTGGACTTGAGGAATTTGAAGGGAAGCCAATTGCCTAAATTGATTGCTGGATTGAGGATGGAAATTTGACATTGCAGCAATTTGCTGTTGGCGGAACTGCAGTTGGGGATGATGTCTGGCATTGATTGCAGTTAAGGCATTACTATCAATTGGAAATTCAGCCGGGTTTTCAAGCTTGACTTCCACCAGGGGTTTTATGTTATCCATGCCAGGGCGAGGTGTTGATGGTTGCCGTTGTCGTATTCTTTCCCACTGTTGCTGTTGCTGAAAAGCCAGATTTTGGGGATGAACCATCTGCTGCATCTGTGGACGCATTTGTCTTGGTATCTGTAGAGTCACCACCACCAGAGCAATCATTTTCATCATCTTACTGCTATCTTCCAAATTAAAAGCAACAAATTTCAAAACCCTAGTAAAAATCAGGAATATTATAAACTGTAAATGCAAACTACATCAGTTTCACTCAATTTTTCATTCAACAGCATGATTCAGAACATTTTGGTGGGAAATCGCATCAAACAGTAAGAATCAAATCGTGAATCACACGATTCTAACCACCACACAAACAACTACATGCACTATAGAACCAGAAGCAGAGCGCATCCCAATAGAAAGGCAAGAAAAGTAGCTAGACATACTTGCTGGGGTTGTCGAAGGGGTGCCTGCTGCTGTGACTGCATCTGTGACTGGATAACCTGCATTTGTTGATGAGTTTGTTGCACAGAATTCCTCGTACTATCCTTCACGAGCTCTGCTAAAGCCCCAAGATTACTAATGATGGAAGGGGACAATACGTAATGATAGAACGGGAAAATAGTTAGATAATTGTGATGACAGAGAGAGAGAAGCCAGATATATAACAACTTTCAAGAAATGACAGTTCATGAATCAAAACTTAAGGAGAGAGACTAATGAAGTAAACATAGAAAGAGTCACAAAACAAACGATATATGTGAGCACATTATCATGCACATAAAGATGCCAAACATGCATAACATACCTAAAATAGCACAACATTGATTCCAATTTTCCATAGACAAAAATCATATATATCTAAATAAAGTAACACAGTTCACTATTTGATACTAGATTTGATCAAATTTAAACTAGACCAAGCCTGCCTAGAACAGAATTCAAGGTCAACCCAAGCTGAATTCAAACTAATTGCTTCCCATATATACTGCAGAAATAATTTTTTTCGGCCAATATCCTACTTCAGAGTTCATTTCTACCTTATCAGAAATTCAAAGCCAATAGTCTACTAAACAAATGTAAATAAAAAAACCAATCAAATTCAAGCTTATAACATAAAAACAGCTTCACTCACCTATACCCCGCTGTTTGAAGGAACATCTTGAGTAGTTCAATGGCTGAGCACTGTTTTCTGTAACTATCAGAAAGGACTTTCAAGATACGACCTAGCTTACCAATATGACAACTCAGCAACTGAGACAAGACTTCCATTGGGACTTCTGAAGAAGCTTCAAACCCCACATTTGTTAGCACACGAGCTATCACTTTTCTAGACATCTCTGACGCTTGCTCTTGACTGAGAAGTTTTCTGTTTCCATTAGATCCATTTTTTCCACGACATTGATTCCCTCCTTGTTCCATGCTCAGGTATTCTGGTCTAATACCAAGCCTCTCAATCATAATAGGGTTCCTGGTCATAATTTGAGGCAGCATATCAAGAACACCATTAAAATCCACTTTGTGGTTTTCTTCCACTCGGTTTATGTGAGGAAGAGCACTATCGGGGACACAATTAAATGGAAACATCGTTTCAGGGAAAAAATATGTATCATCATCAATTGCATCATTGTCATTTAAAACCGAATTTCGGAGCATGTTTGATCCATTTTCTGACATGGGATTGCCAAAACCATTAGTTTCATCATCCTTAAATGCTATTCGTCTTCTCTTATGCTTCTCGAGGATTCTAAGATAAGTAGACATCAGCTCAGGTGTACGCTTGTCTGTTTCCCGATCCCCAAATGACAACCTATATGGTTTGGTAGCTTTATACTTCTCAAAAAACTGAGTATACCATGTTTCTGGCAATTCTTCATGCCTGAATCTCTGGGCCATGTTGTCCATATCTTTTTCACCATATCTTGATCCAATACTAATGGCTTTAGATTGGAGCTGCAAAATTTGTTAACAACATGAGTAAAATGACTCAACCATAACAGAAGTGTGAAATTGAAAACATATCATTTTAATATGCACTACATGTGGTTCCAGCACATATCAGTAATAATTACATTGCATAATGGCCAGATAATAGTTTTCGAAAGAAGTCATCATACACATCTTTCCAAAGCTATTATCCGACAAATTGCTGTACTCTCTATCCAATGCAATTAGTACTATTCTGAGATGGACCCACGACAATCACCCCCTCTAGTCCATAGAGAGAAAATCCACCACGTAACATTGTAATTGAAGCTCATACCAGCCACTTTGTGCAGAACAAAAACTTCTCTTTAGGGACAACTTTAGTCATCATATCAAGTGATTTTCTCAATATGAATTTTATTTAACTTCATAATCCTTCTACTCTATGTTGATGGTATTTAATAGCAGGACATGATGTGAAGATGATTAACAAGCTGAAAGAGGAATTATCCAAGACACTTGACATGTAAGAGTTAGGAGATGCACGTAAACTATTAGGAATATAAATAATTTGTGACAGGAAAGCTAAGCAGTTGTCACGAGTGAAGTATATTGAATGGATGCTTGAAATGTTTAATATGAAAGATGCTAAACCTATAAGCACACCTCTTGCTAGTTACTTCAAGCTCAACAAGAAGAATTGGTAAACCAGGTTTTTACCAATTGTAATAATCAACTCTTTGAGGGCTATAGTGCAATTCCGATTATATATAACTCTTATCCTTATGAGATTAGGTGAAGAGTCTAATTAGAGCCAGGCTTTAGAGAGGCCTTAGAAGTTCTGATCCAAGCCAACATAGAAAAAAGTCCTAGTGCCTATATAAAGGCAAATATGGCCAGCCAAGGAAAAATAATTTCACTCTTTTGTTTTCTATTACTATATTTTAAAAGTAGAGAGAGAATATAGAATCCCACAGCTTGTCAAGAATTCCCAAAGGACATTGGATTAAAGACTTCTAGGCACACAAGAAATTTAAGAATTCATCAAATTCATTAATTTCATCAAGAATTAATCAAGGTTCAAGTGTTCTTGAAGATCATCATCAATATTCAAAGCAAGGAATTACAAACAATCAACATCTAAACAAATCTTTATCATTATTTCATAGTTTGGCTTGCAACAAGAGCTACAAAGGTACAATTCTACCTATTCACCATCTAGAACATTATTAACATGAGTTAAGATCAGAATTTTAAAATTTATACTCTTCCGCATAGTTTTCTTAACCAACAAGCTCACTAATGGACAGGTGCCTGGCTCTCCTTGGCTGGACAGAGTAGAGGTATCAGGCCTATCTTCACATGATTCAGACCTTAGAGGTTGTATCATGAGTGCAGCCAAGTTAGGTATTACACTTCGGAGGGTGTATCATGGCATAACGTAGTTACATAGATGGTAGCTACGATATCTCTCATCGTGTCAGGTATTGGATCAACGTCCCTCTATCTCTAAGATCAATTAAGGAGTTGCATGTTGGTCGAGCGATGCTCCTGGTCGCTTTGGCATACCCTATGGAAATGAGATATGATGGTCCATGGTCGAACAAGGGCTCATTTGGGCAAATTGGGACTCAAGGGTGCCAAGCCACGGTGCTTGTTGTTGAGTGGACTATGGTTGAGTAGATGAGCTTGCCTCAGTCTATACCTTAGACTCTTCATATTTTGACTCATTCACTGAGTGCTTGGGCTTGCTAGAGCACCGAACGCACTAGAGAGCCGACCAACCCCACTCAGACTAGATATACAAGCTCAATTAGTTTGCTCGAAAACAGAGTGGTGCTTTGGAAGGATTACCAAGTCGAGACAGTCATGCTGAGATAGCGATGATGTGGCACCCGCAGGACTCACCACGTAACAAGGATGGTATACATTTCACACAATAACTTCTTGGAAAAGCAATGCCCAAAGCTTTTGAACCATCTACAAGCTAAAAGTCTCAAATCGGATATCTATCTTCCAAAATTTAATTGGAAGAAGGGGATTATCAAATTCATAAATACTATTTAAGTTTTTGTTTCTTAAGAATTTTTAGCTATGCTTTGAGCATGGTCAAAAGTTTTTTCTTAGCTGCCAATATCTGCATGTGTTCATATATTTCCTTTTCTTCTTTTCTATTTTGTTCCTTTGATAAGCCTTCAAATGCTTCTATTTAAATAAGTTTCAATCTTGCGTTACTCCTTATACTCACAATTATAGTCGTTTTGAAAAATATATTGTAGTGGATAAAAGAGAAAGATTAATCAACACTAAAGTAGTAATGTGGAAAGAAGTTCTTGAGTCTAAAAGTTTTAGTGGATAAGTGAAGACCAAAAATCAAAAGATACCGAAGAGTGGACAATTTCATTACCTATGTTTGATTATTAATAAGGATGAAGAGGTAGTTGATGATTTGGCCCATAAAATTAAAGTAGCTTGGCTAAAGTCGATGTGTGCGTCTAACATATTAGGTGATTGACATATGCCAACAAAATTAAAATAGAAAAATTTTATATAACAATTATAAGGCCAACAATACTTTACAGCACAGAATGATGAACAATGAAGAAACAACACATAAGTAAAATGAGGGTACATAAGATGAGCATGTTGAGGGAATGAGGTGTGAGACTGGAAAAAAGAGAATTAGAAATGAATACATTTGTGAAATGGTAATAGAAGTAACACCAAATGCAGATTTAATTGACAGAGAATAGATTAAGATGGTTTGGTCATGTTCAACAAAAACTGGTAGACTACAGTGAGAAAGAGCAATAAGATCGCAATTAATAGAATTTATCCTAAAAAAATTTTTTAAAAAAAAAATGATCACAGTTAATAGAAACTCTAGGGAGAGGGGGAGACCTAAATTGACATAGGATATTGTAGTAAAATAAGATATGAATTTATTAATGTAACTAAGCATATCGCCCTTGATAGAGCAAGATGGGAGAAAAAAATATTCACGTAGCCAAGCGCAATTGATTGGAACACAAGTCTTGGTTTGGTTTGGTTTGGTTTCATTAGACTGAACTACCAAAATGTATTTCAAACAAATGGTATGAACTTTCTAACGATAATTCTTGAACAACGAACAACTAGTTCAAACATTCACGACCAAGAAGAATTGGATTCTCTTTCAGATAGGCCAAGGAGAAGGAAGGTTGTTTTCCTAAATTCGTTGAAATTATGCATTGCAAGGTACAACCAAAGTCCCTAGCTTAAGCCTATGTTTGGTTAAGGATTTGGGGAGGAATTTGAAAAGGGAAAAGAAAAATGTGTGTGAAATTAGGTAAGATAAAAATATATTTTATTCACATTTCGCTTACATTTTTCATTTTCCTTTCCTTTCCATTTCCCTTTCCCTTTCTCTTTTCCAAATCACTTCCCACATTCCCAAACAAACAAGGCGCAAGTGTTTTGCATGGCACACTCTACATAAATCGTGCCTGGGAATATGGCGGGAGACCAGATGCAGGATGAGGATAAAGGAAACATAGTACTAAAGGCCACCAATTTGGGTGATAGTGATGAAAATTAGCGTGTGGAGGAGGTAAAAACAGGGAAGGACAGGACACTAGAAAGATACAACACACCATTCACTCACTCTGTTTGGTTTTGAAATTTACAAAACAGCTTTTGAGTTTTCAATATGTATTTTTTTTTTTTTTTAATGAAATTTTATTTGAGGTCCAATTTTAAATCCACTTAATGTAAAGTACAAAATTTAAAAATTAACTAAATACCTAGAAATACAAAATTCAGTGTGTTTTCGTTTCTTTATTTATTAAATTTTTTAACGATCGTTTTGCAAATATTTTACTTTCTGAGTATGCATAAAAAAATGGGCAAATTACATATACACCCCTCCAGGTTTGACAAAATTACAGATACCCCTGAGGTTTGAGAAATTACGAATTCCCCCCTGAATGCTATATTTGTTTTTTTTTAATGAAATTTTATTTGAGGTCCAATTTTAAATCCACTTAATGTAAAGTACAAAATTTAAAACTTAACTAAATACCTAGAAATACAAAATTCAGTGTGTTTTCGTTTCTTTATTTATTAAATTTTTTAACGATCGTTTTGCAAATATTTTACTTTCTGAGTATGCATAAAAAAATTATAAAAAAAAAATTGACAAACACATTAAAAAGGTTCACTAAAAATTGAAAACTCAAAACGAAAGAGTGATTGGCATTAATGTAGATAATTCCTCAATTTGAAGTTCCCAAACAAAATTACCCACAAAAACCCTTTCATAGCATTAGTGATATGCTAAAAACCCTAGAGATGCCTGAATCAAGTTGAACTAAACACAAAATGTCAACGAAGAAACAAATTAATGCAACTAGACGATCAAACCTTTGAAGGCGCCGTCTTAGCAGCAACAACACCGTCTCGCTGTTGCGATCCATCAAGCGCACAATCTTCGAAAGTGAAGTAAAGATCATCGCCATGCAACTGCAAATCTGAGGAATCGCATCGATTTCACAGGAAAAACAAAAATCAGAAAATTGATTGTCTCCATTGAAATTTAGGGAAAAAGGAGAGGAAATTGATTCAGGGACGACGCACAGTTTGGATTGAGCTTCGAAATCACGGCTGAAGAAGACAAAGAAGAAGAAGAAGAGTGGCGGAAGAGAGAGACAGAGGCTTTGTCAAAGAGGAGAGCACGAGCTCGGAGTTGGAGTTGGATCTGAGCCCTAGATTTGGAATCGTCAGCTCTCATGAAGGCCTCCCATGAAGAGGGCGAGGAGAGGAAGTGGGCGAAGTTGGCGTAGAGTGAGTCGCCGAGCCAAGACCGCCAGACTCCGTGGCTTTCCAGCTTCCGAGCCAGCTCGTAGCCTCGGCCGTCGTTCCCCAGCAACGCCATTCTACAAACTACACAGAATAGGGGCACTGATGATGATGTTGTTCCAAAAATGGGGACTGTAGATTTGGTGTGGAAGAGACCATGGGATGAAACGTAGAAACCGTGTTATTTTGCGCCACGTGTTAGAAAATTATGCCAGCAAAACTTGATGGCCTTGGCCTTCTGACGTGGAACTCTTTAATTGGATGTAATGTGTGGATCTATGGCGGTGTACAATAATCCGGACCCATCTTAGAGTGATCTTTGGTATGGTTGAATTTTTTTTTAAGTGATTATAATAGTACCGTTTGCTAACACTTACGTTTCAATTTTCAGTTTATATTTATAAAAATTTTAAAAATTCAAATAAAAACTTGTTTAGTAAATTTTTGATTTATAAATCAGTGGTCTCAGTTTATAAATTTGGCCAAAAAATATAAACTCAAAAAATGTGTTTCCATAGTTTTTACATTTTGAGTTTCAGTTTCTTTTTTTTTTACCACCTAAACAACTAGCCACACCCACCCGCCTATTCTTCTACACCGGTCTTGTCGCGTTAAGGGT